TTATTCATTTGACTTGTCCTGCAGCTCAACCGCCTTCCAGATCCTGTAATGGTCAAAGCTTTGTCCATTTTTTTTATATATGGTCCATGTGACTCCAAAGACACATTTTTACTGATAGCTAATGTACATGTGCATTCAGAAAAATAAATTCATATGGAAGTTAATGCTGTTAGCAAAAGAAAAAAAACACATTTGAAGAATTTTCCCAAACTGCAGCCTGTAAATTTTAAGTCACATTTTATTTACTGGCATAAATCTTTTCGCTCCTCCTGTTACCTGTGATGTAATACTGTTGTCTGACGTGGACTCACCTGTGGCAGGTTCAGGTGTCTGCGTGTTACTGCAGGTCCACATGGCCCAGAGAAAAACACAGTGATGTAGAAAAGCCAGCATCTTTAACAGCGCGCGTCAAACAACGGCTGGTGTTTTTAAAACCACAGCAGGTGGAGAGGCCTTGATAACCAACCTCTGGTTCCATGGCCCTCATGTTGGCGACTGGGCCCGTCACACTGTTCCACAGAAAACACCACCATTGTTTCCAGGGCTGTGGTTATTCTCTCTGAGTTCAGACTGCTTCATGTCTGAGAGCTGCTCTCTGCCGCTCCACCCTCTCCAGCTGCAGCTCAGCCTGGAAATTGGATCTTTGTCGTGGGACCAGGGAATTTTTTTTTTTGATATGGGCTCTGGATTTCTTCTCGAAGACTTTGGCGAGAAAGAAATACAGACAAGGATAAAGTACAGTTTATGGTGGAACTGTGATAAAATGCTGTAAAGTCAAACTGCTTCCAAAAGTGATGAAATTACATGACTACACAAAGTTAAAGATTTTAGAATATAATGGTCATGTGTTTAATAATTAATAATAAAAAGGAAATAATAATGATAATAATAATACCTATTATTATTATCATTATTATTATTTGTTAAGATTAGGGTAAAAAACATCACTGAATTTCACACAATGCCTTTAATCGCTGTGTGATTAAATACATTTTCAATTAATCACACTTTATTACAAAAAAAGGCTATAAATCAATATCACATTTTTAATCGTTGCCCAACTCATGATGTTCTTGTTGATTTAGTCGACATGTCACTAAAAACATTGATACACGTGCAGCTCCTAAAATCCTCCGTGTTTTTTATGAACTTTTCATTTTCAGTGTATGGCCAGAAAACCAATATATACTGTATTGTAGAAGCAATTATTTTACCCAATTTTTTTTCTATTTTTTTTAACTAGGCATCCCATACCGAGGAGTTTAAACTGAATGTTCACTAACTCTCTGGTTCTGGTCTGTGATGCTAAAGCTCAGCTGGAAACTGGCCGTCACTGAGAGGATTAAAAAGACATTTCAGCACCTGTCACAAAATAATTTTTGTTAGAAAAAAACAAACCAACTTAACTCTGTCGTAGCATGAACTAATTGCCGCTCCTCAGTTCTGGATGATGACCTAAAATGGCAGCTGCAGGTGTTATCACATTTTCTCACATTCAGCGAGACCAGCTGGACATATTTGTAAAGGGCTGCCTCCCAGAGGAAACAAGAACGAGGGTTCACCACGGAGCCAGAGGTGCATGTGGAGGAACATCTGTTCTGCCTCTACATTATTGCACTGATGGAGTACGATATTGGTTCTCGAACTGGGGGGGAAAGTATTCAAAATCACCCCTTAATGTTATCAGAATACCACAAACTACTACCATTGGATTTGCATTATTTCCAAAATCACCCCTTAATGTTATCAGAATGCCACTAAATACTATCATTGGATTTCCATTATTTCGGTCACGTGATTGGATATAGATTCAGTATCAAGTAAATGTACACAAATAATTCATTAAAGTACCAGATAATTTCATGATAATAATGATGACATTTCTGAGCAATAAAACATCTTGAAGTCTCAGCACAAATGTCCTCCCCACTACACCGAGTGACTCTGTAGGTGCCTTTCTCTGACAGCAGAGGGCACTGTTCTCCACTCCACTTCGTCCCTTCAACACAATCGATATGGAATTGTGGGGGAAAAAAGAATTACAATGCATCGATGAATCGATATTTGTACCCACCGCTAATCTATACCGATCTTTTCTGCAGGTTTCGTGTTCGGTCTTCTCAGGTCTTCTTCAATCTGCTGGTCTGGTAAGTTCCCTCTTTAATTTGATCTCTTTTTTAAATCAACACACTGATCCAAGAACGGTTAAAACGAAATCTTAGCAAATACTATTTGTTTTTTGTTTTCATCAAAAACATTGTGGTTGTTATTTACTTTACACGCACTCATTAAAACGTATATATTCACCTGTTCTACAATAAATATGACAGAAAACGACTGTGGGAAAAGCAAGTTTCGATGTTGGCGAACACTGAAATGTCACAGTGAGGAAGAACATTAATGATGATTTTCTTTTTTTTTAAAACTAAAATAACTCATTTCAGTTTAGTTGTTTTGGATCCATTTAATTTGTTTTCAATATGTTTCCTTAATTCCCCAGCAGTTCATTATTTGACAAGACTGTTTATAAAACAGTGCGACGCCACTCTGTGGAATTAATAGACGTGTTCTCATTTAAAATGGAAAATTAAACACACATTCTCATCGCATCTCATTATAGATTTAATGGAGAACTGAATTAACTAGCAAACTGTCAGCTGCTGCCATTAGTCCGTGTGCGTGAAATGAAAGAACTTGTAGATTCCATCATATAAAATACATTTAAAAGTTCCATTGTTTTGTAGTCTATAAACTAGAATAGAAGTTTTTATCATTCAGCTTTCACACACTGTTTGTCCAACAATTTGTGTCTGCGTCTCTGCACACAAAAAGGTTTTAGTTTCACCAATGCATCTGCAGCTTAAAATACCATCTTAATGCCCGGCATGCAGAAATTGACAAATTAAATTAAATTAAAGTAAATGTGAGTAACTACTATGATTAATCGTGATTAATCCAGATTGAAAACTTAATTGTTGACGGTTTAAAGCCCTAAAAAACACTGTTGTATTTATCTTTTCACTTTACATAAAACTTGTTCTCGTTCTTGTTCCTTCATTCTCTCATATTTCAACTATAATAAAAATGGAATCTAAATCCTTCATTGTTCAGTTTCACCTAAAAAACTGAACTGGAACTGCAGTTTTTTTAGGCAGATTTTTGTTTTGGCGCTCATAACACTATTATCTCAGATATTAACTGTTTACAACAACTTCAATAGGTAGTCTGCGACCTCTATGGGTTTGCAGTGGTACTGCAGATGGGTTGTAAAATTTATGGTTGATTAGACTTTTTTTTTTAAATTTTGCACAGTTAAAGTTTGGGGACCATGGCTTGAAAACCATTGAAGCTGTGACACACCCTCCTCATGCACACACATATTTGTTTTTCTTTCTGTTTGCTCTTCAGATTAAATTAATCTGTGAGAGGATCATACAAACACCATAATGGATTCCTCTGCTGCAGGCAGCCCAGCAACACACTCGGCTGAACTACCAAACACATTAATCTTTACTGTGTGAAAAATCACAGCTTGATTTTCCACTGTGAAGGAGGATAAGCTATTAAAGAGCCATTTTATTAACATCATCTTGATGAATGCGTCCTTTGCTGAGGAGCTGCTGCTGATTACCATCCTGATGAATGCGCTGTCAGCTCTCACAATCTCAACCACACAATAACAAAGTAACACTGACCACACGGAGCCGGAGTTTTGGTGGAACCCTTCTCCTCTTATAAAGTGTTCATTATAATCCGACTCTTCAAACGGTCGGGCGAATGTTTTGCGCCACGTCTGGGATTTTAAGGTCAAACATCGGTGGTGGTGAAAGCCATTAATGACAGCTTTGAACCCAACTATTCTTTCATGTGAAAGTAGCACAGACGCAGCAGAGTGCTCACTTTCATCTGCTGATTAAAAGCCCCTTACCTCAAAGACGTAGAGAAATGATACACCCTCCTCTCCTTTGCTCTTACCCTTCCATTCTTCCTTCTGTCTTTGCAGTCATTAGCTGACTGCTGCTGCCGTTTGGGGCGTTAATAAATCACACGATCTTCTAGAATGGAGACATTTCTTTCTCCACCCTTTGACGGGCTCCACCCTTCATTAAACTCACATTTATGTTTTCCTATTGACAAAGTGACATCTGGCTTTTAACCCCTTACTCTTTTAGCACGCTCCGTTGCTAGCCATGGCTGGTCCAAGGTTCCTAATCAAATCGATCGTCACAACATCGAATGCTAACACGATCGTCTTTCAATCTGTGTAATTTGCACTCACATCTATCAAGTCTGTGTCTACTGAATTAAGTTACGCCCACCGCTACCTTGAATCAGTCACTTCAGCTGCACACTTTGAAATGAACCTGACACTTCACCTCACGCCCGGCACCACACTCATGTACTTTTCTGCTACTCCTGATTTTCTTGCTTTAGAACCTCGGATCGTTTTTCCCGCCTCTGTTATCACCAGTGAAATTGAAGAGGAATATCGATATTTCTCTTTCAGTGCTTTCACCTAAATTACCTCTGTATGAGTTTTTGATTACTGTTACGTTGGAGAAGGATGAAAGCTCCAGAGCAAACAAACAAACAAACAAACAACTTAACCGGATTTGTCCTGCGATGCTAATGCCCTGACGTCACTGCGCTGAGAGCTGGGTTGACTCCGTTCCGTGTGTTTGGTCCTGATAGAAAGTTGGCCCCGAGCGAGATCCCATCATCAGATTTCAGAGCTCTGTCGGGAGATGAGACTTCTGGAATGAATAAACGTCTTCAGCGTCAGGCTGGAGAGCACTAACCTTCAGCTGCCTCGTAAAACTCAGAGGATCACTCCACGAACGCATTCTGGCCAACGGCAGAGGCGGCGGCATCTGGCCAGTTTGTTACTCTGACACTGCAGTCTGTAAACAGACTTCAAAGCCCTGCACTCTTTCATCTGGAGGCTGAGGTGGCTAACTAGAAGAGAATCATAATAATAAACACATTTTATTGGAGAGGACCTTAAATTAGCTTCGATGTTTAGCCGTAGCCAATATGAGAAAAAATACAGGGTTTTATAAGAAAAGAGCGGAGAGGAAGAAAAACATCGTGGTAACTGAAGGTTAAACTAAATGGTTGGACTAAATGGATCCTTTCCGAGGCACAATTTAGAAAATCAATTAGTTTAGAAAAAAACACAAACAAACAGAGAGCGGACGCTGCTGCTAGTGATTATAAACACATGTGACATCATAGTGAAAGGTACAAGAACAGCGCAGGGAAATGAGAAAGTTAAATATCATTTACTGCAGCAATCTTTAATGCTTTTCAGGTGATTGACCTTTGACCTGATGGAGAGATGGGGCAGGGACCTACTATTTTATACACTGTGTAAAGCTGGGCTTTGTATCTGGGTGTAATGGCTTGTACTTAGAAACTCACAAAACAATTCACAGCCTGCTCTCACTACATTCACTGCCCCTCATGAGGGTGACGGACCTCATATTGAGAACCTCAAATTTACCTACAATTTTACCTTATGGCCATAAGGATTTGCATTGTGTAAAAGTGATTTTAAATATGCAAGAAATCACAACATTAATGTTTATATATCAATATATTTATTGAGTTATAAAAAATATAAAATTAATGTTTTGAGATCTTTATTAAATTGACTAATTGAATTAAAGATATGTCACACTGTGATGTCACACATATTAAGACATGAAGATGAACCTAGGTTTTAATTGCCTTGCATGAAGAGTTACATTACCGCCACCTACTGGATCTATTAACCACTGGTAAATCTTTCAAACCACAGAAGTCTTGATTATTAAACACCTGCCGTGGCCCCTGAGAAATACAAATGGAATTAATAATTGATGATACTGTCATTTATTTATGTATGTTTTATTTATATATTTATATACAGTTCATGCATTTCTGCTTGGGAACAAAACTCATTATACGATATGTTGAGTTATTGATTTCAATGGTAGAAAAATGGTATTGATCCAAAACACTGATGGATTTTTTTTCCTCTGGGCGTCACACAGTTTTGAACATAAACATTTTATTGACTTTGCTTAATATAATACAAACAACTGATACCTGACTGGTACATTGCATTGGTTAAAAACAAACAGAAATTTATGTCAGTATTAAGAAAAATATATATATTTAAAATTATATTTTTTTTTTATAAATAAGTTTTCACACCTATGTGCTCTGCCCAGGACAGAACATTTTCTGTCATTGATTCCAGGAAAGCTACAGAGAATGGCCACTGATTCAACCATAACAACAGTCAATCAATGTATTAGACAAACATGTATCTTCGCTGATTTCCCTTTGTTTAGAACACTGAAGAGGGATTCATGGGAAGGTAATAGGAAGGTGGAATCCGTTGACCCCTGTGACCTCAAGACCCCCCGCCCCCCAAAAAAAAAATCAATTCCAGATCAGAATCAATCAGACTGGAAAAGCTCGTCACTGGAAAGGCTTTTGTTTTGACGTGTTACATTGTGATTTAAAAAAAAAAAAAATCCTTGTTCAGAAATTTTTGCGAGATTCGCTTAAAAATGTACAAAGTAATTATTGGGAACCTTTTACAGCTGAGGTTCTCACAGCAGGAGGCAGGAGTAGTTTAGATGATTCTCTCCATCCTTTCTTTCACCTGTATCTTTTACCTGTATTCTTGTTTCTTTCTTGCTTCTCTTGCTTCTATTGTTGTGACTTGCTAAAAGCCGTGTACCTTTAATTATTCATCATCCGACCTGACCCTGGAGATAAGAGTGTTCATCTTATCCTGACAATTTTATTGCAAACCAGATCATGGAGAAAACAAATTGTCTCCGGTCTCAGCAAGGACTCCTTGACTTTTGTTGACCATATTACATGTTGGAGGGGGGGGGGGTTCTGAATTAATTATAGGATCTACCACTTCATACAACTCAGTTATGGACGGTGTAAAATCAGACATAACGTTCTTACAGATGAAATAGTAGTGTAATTTACTTTTAATTATTGAGTTCCCACAATATCTTCTCTACAATATCTTATAGTAAAACCTGTTTTACACACACTCCAATCCAGTAGGTGGCGGTAATGTGGCTAGTATTAACTTGCCTGGCAAAAGATGAGGCAACCAATGTATTGACCACGACTT